ATATTATTAAAAAATTTAAGAAAAGTACAGGCAAAAAGTATGATATGATGCAGTTAAAAAATAAGTTGGATCAGCTAAAAAAATATTGAAAAATATAGAAAAAATTGAAACGTTAATCAACGGGTTTAGGGTGGGATCCAGTAAAATAAACGATTGATGTTTCCGATGAGTGGTGGGCAGAGAGACTTGCGATGAGCATTTTTAAATTAACTACATATTATATGAATTTGTAGATAGTGTCTGTTGCAAAAAAAAATTAAATACGATGGAATTGATCCTGAGTTGAAGGTGAAATCAATTCATATGTTTGGGGGTGTCATGACAACAAGCAACAATGCATGTGCCCCCAGCAAGATGGGGTTTGGTGGCATCACCGAAAATTTAAGAGCTGACCTAACGGGTGATTCCACTGAAGGCCCCAGCTCGGACCTCCATGAACTTGAGTCCACGAGCCACTATAAGTGTCCTTGGGTTGAAAATAAAAAGAAAATGAGAGTTGCTTTCCTTTCACAGTTGGCGACTTCATGCAGCAATGACCCCAACACATCTTAAGCAAGTTCTGTCCAGCATGTTGTACAACTTCTGAATGCAACTCCATAAATTTCTGAGGACTTATCATTGCATCTATTTTCTATAAAGTTGCTTGAAGATTCGACCCAGAGAGAGTTTTTCATCGCGATGTCCATTGACCGTAGGGTGACTTATAATATTTTTATGAGAGTGGGAACATTTGAGAGACTTCTTTTTATTTATATTCGCGTAGGACATTTCTATTTGTTTATGGTTTTTCATTGTAGTATAGATATTTAAATTGTTTTGGACATGTCGTTTTACTTGAGAGTTTTTCTTTCCATGTTATGTTTTCTATTTACTTCCGTAATGTTATTTGCATATTTTTGTTCGTAACCTTATATGATTGTAGATGATTCATTGATACTTATGTGTTAGTCATTTCAATACTAAACTACAAGGATGCAACTATGGAAAGAGGCAGAATGAGAGTTACAGCTACCGTATGCTTGATGTACGAATATTATAACTCGTAAATAGAACGCTCCCCTTACATGACATCCTCATATGCTGGTGACAAATGGGTTGGGAAGTTGCTTGAGAGCCACCCAACGAGATTTAGCAATATATTTCACATGACACAGGCGACATTCACCAATGTTTTGGAAGAACTACACATAAATCAAGAACTTCATGGCTCATCCCGAACGACTTCGAGAGATGTGTTGACAATAACCTTCTAGATATTATCGCAGAATGAATTAATGCGATGAACTATGGAGCAATTTCAACACTCATCCGAAACGATTTGCAGATACTTCTCAGTTCAGTTAAATGCACTTGTAAGTTTTTCTTCACAAGTCATAAAACTAACTAACATATCTTACATTCGAATGGAATCTTACATTCGAATGGACTCCCACGAAAATTTCACATGATGTGCAGTATATCTCATACTTTAAGGTAATTTATTCTATTTATTACATTCAATTTTTAAATAAATATCGTAATTACGAAACTCTTTGTTATCTTTCTAGAATTGTATTAGAGCAATCGATGGAACACGCGTTGATGCACGTGTTTCAAATAATGAAAAAATCGCATTCATCGATCGTTGTGAGTTTCCGACACAAAATGTCAAGATGGTATGCGACTTCAACATGTGTTTCACTTTTGTCATGCCCGGTTAGAAGAACAATGCACATGACAGTCGAATTTTCAAACTGCAGCACAAAATAACAAATACAACTTCTCACATCCACCCACGGGTTCGCTTGAGACTGAGCTACTCTCCTAATTCTTTTTTTTTATCAATACTAATCATGTAATTCACATCAGGTAAATACTATTTAGTTGATGTTGGTGCAACGAGAGTATCTCAAACCCAATCCTAATATGAAATACCACATAACTGAATTTGAGCGAGCCAGCAATATCACGTGGGGCAAAAAACAAATGTTCAATAAAAGACATTTCTCCTTACACGGTGTCATTGAGAGAACTTAGTGCTTGAAAAAAGAAATGTATTACACTATGCGATATGTCATCTTACTCGTCTCTCAAACAAATATAGATTGTGATTGTCACGATAACTCTCTACAATTATATTCGGCGACATCCTTCCCGCAACGACATCAACTTTCGTAGAGCGGACAAGGATCTACATGTCCCTGCCGAGGCATATGAATACCATCTTGGACAATCTTTGTCACACATTGAAAATAATGTTCCTAAGACCTGTACTAAAGACAAGTAAGATACAAGCGAGATAGCAATGTTGAGAACAAATTACGGATGTGATGGTTGGAGTGTGATTGAAGTTTTCATCATATTATTAATTGTAATGATTATTAAAGAGATTCACAGTTTATTATATTTGTATTTTGTACAGTTCGTATTTATTTACATTCTTTGTATATTTGTTATTAATTGTTGTGATTTTTTACGCTATTTGTTCATGTTTTTTTCTTTTTGCTTTCTTTTTTTTTGTTTTTCTTTTGGTAGATTTTGGAGGTCTATGATAAGACGTTTGATGTTATGGTTTCTTCTGGATGACCTGTTTGTTACTATCGGTTGGTATCACATGTGAAATCTACAACCAAGTTGCTCTCTTTTTTTCGGAACTACGGTTTTTAAGATTCTTCTGGATGGCCTTTTTTGTGACATATATATGTGACACACATGTTTGGTATTACATGAGGTAAAGGCAACCAAAAGCCCTTTTTTTTATAAGGTCTGTTGTCTTCTTGCTGTGACAAATTCGTTGGTTGATATACTGAATTTTCCAAAACCTCAGTTGCATAAAATTATAATTAATTACTTATGTTATTAAAGTTTACTTGTGTTTGTCTAATGCGATAGTTTTTAAAGCATTTAGAAAAGATGACCTCGAAAATTTCTGATACATCTCGAGGATTGCACTGCTACTGTGGACTTCAAAGTTCTCTGCTAACTTCACGTCAGTCACATAACTACGAGAGACAGTTTTATAGATGCCCACAGAGAATCACGGAAAACTGTAACTTTTTTCGGTGGGCAGATTAGCTAGAAGATTCCACCGCCGAGAGTGATGGAGCATGGAGAGTATCCTAGAGAACAGCTTAGGTCGTAGCATAAGTCTTCTACATTTGAAAAATAATATTATCATATATTAATTGTTATTTTAATATTTTTTTTTAATTATTTTAGTAATCATGATGCTCACTGTTAAGTGAGGTGTCTTATCTTTTTTTTTGTAATGTTCTACACTGGATTTTTACTTCTAAAGCATAAAATGCATTGGTATGACAGTTCTGTTGCAAACAGTATTACTATACAGGGTGTCGATAAACAGTTGCAACACAGCTGTTTTCAAACTGCAAAAAACAAACAAACAGCTAGTTTATCCGCAGCAGCTTCTGTGCAACAAATTATTATTAAACAGCAACTGCCCCAAATAATCCCTTAGCTCTGACTGTAAATACTTTTAATTCCAGTGTTCCATCTCTAAAATACATCCAATACTACTCCAAATCATGAGTTAGTAAAAATAATATGAGAATAATATTAATCACATATTTAATAAAAATAAGCATAAGTTTAATATCAAGTAAATTTGATAGGCATCTTCTTGGTGAACGTATTTTGGCAGATAATTGGGTAGCTCTCATGCTAAGCATTCCCTTTAAAAAAAAAAAAATTCAAGTAGTCTATCAGCTTTCTCAAAATCTTCAAATGAGCTTATTGTTCTCTTAACACATTTATGCAAATCAAGTTTAACCTCCACGCATTCAAGAAAGCTAACATCAAAACAAAATAGAAGATTTAGAAAATATCCAAAATTATGTAAATCAAATTGTAATTGGTTGTCCCATTCCCAAACAATAATTTTCTAAACATTTTTACATGTTGATTTTTCTACACTTTAGTTATTTGCTATTTCTTTGTTTATGTTGTTCATATAAGAATAGAACTATAGAAAAAGCCCATTATAGGAAGTTTTTCACCATCAACAATTCTCAAAACTTCAGCTCGAATTACATTATGATTCAGAACCCCTACCAAGGTTAATTGAGGCATGGGTTTCAAAAGATGGAGGGAAAATGTAGGTTATACATCTTTTAGCTAATGCCTGAAAACAAAATAGATTTCAAGGCGTAGGTATGGAAAATATTTTAAACAATGGTACCAGCCCAAAGGTCCCTCAAACAAATGGTCATGCAAACAGTGTAACCTGCATAGCTCACATGTGAAGGAAGATGGGATAGTGCACCCTTTTTACAGATTCAAATCAGTATGATTTGGGTGGTTCATACTCAAATCACACAATTTTAGTCTAACTGAATTCTTCATGTCAGTTCACAAGGTCTTTACTAAAAATTTGTTAAAATTGAAGTCTAAGACTTCTAAATAATTTTCTAAGTTTGATAATTTATTTTCTTTGGTATTTTCAAATCCAGAAAATTGAAAAAAAAAATGTACCTGATCCAATTAATTTAAAAAACCTCTCTATTTGGATGTGCGCTCAGTAAAAATTAAAGCATCATGTAATAGGTTGTTGTTAATGAAATATCAATATCCACAGGATTAATAAATGCATAGATAATAGCCTCAAGAATTTCAATTAGCTATTTTTGCAGATGTAGAATTTTAATTAGCTATTTTTGCAGATGTAGAATTTCAACTAGTTATTGTTGCAGATGCAGATACATTGTATATCGGTTTAAAATACTACTACCAAGAAAGAGAGTCAATTTCAAAATTAAGCCTCTTGAGGCAGCTAAACTATCATTTCATCAATCATGGGGTCAGTTCAAGTAAAATACATCCAGTGCTGTCAGCTAAAACAATTTTCACACCATAAAGTAAATAAGGGAAATACAACCAATGGAAGCTTATTGAAGGACATCAGAAATACACCAATTAGAGAGAAATGAATATCAGACAGCTGAACAATTTATTGGACGCCATCTAAATACAACAACCAAATAAAGATAAGAATAGTTCCAAACCTGAACATTGAAGAAAACATTTTTTTCCACCAAGCCTTTGTAATCCCAGAAGGCAGCGTTAATTCATTGATCAGGACTGGAACAAACAAAATGGAAAAATGGATTTAACCCCAGTAGAATGCACATATTGACATCAAATGAGGTCGAAGTTATGAACTGAATCCATATCAAACCCTCAAAGAACATAACAATTGTCATCTCCTCAGGGACTGTACACATCAAATATTCCAAAGGAAAGGCTCTCCACAGCCTGTTTCTAAATACCATCAAAGAACGTAAAATATAAATTCAGTTCAAGGCACATAATCATTTTCAATAACAGGTTGTGTTCGTGTCATTGGGGCAACTGGCACTCGGGTATTCCCAACTTGCCCCATCTGCAAAACCTCACCAACTTCTTCCCTTTTTTGCATCTCCATCAATTTCTTTTTCTTTCTGTATGACGCCAGACAAGCAACTAACAAAATCAGCAGAAGCAATCCAACAAACCCGCCAACAGCAGAAACAACAATCTTCCAAGCCTTGAATTTGTGCCCTTTACCAGGACTAGGAATGGGGTTTGGAGCAGGAGCGGGAGCAATACCAGAAGAATTAACCACAATGGAGAAGTGTCCCTGCCGAAATGTAGTACAAACATTGCCTGAGTTAAGATCTGTGAGCTCTCTCGTACCATTTAAATCAAACTTTACACACTTCACTGTGAATCCACTTAATGCAGGCCTTACATCTGCAAATTTGATTGATATGGGTGAACTTGAAGCCAGGATATCAAGCTCAGATAAGCCAATGGCAGATATATTGACAGCACTATAAGCAAGAAGCCCTAGAACTGGAGCAAGATAGGTATATCCCTGAAGTGGATAATAGAAAGATGACCAGTTTCCTAAATTTTGGTAAACAAAAGCAAGCCTCTTCACATAAGGTTGAACAATGACACCAGTGGGAATATCAAACTCCTTGTAATGGCGGAATCCCCTAGTCCTCAAACTTCCACACCTAAGCCTTAGCACGGCTACTTTGATACCAGTGAGATTAGAAGGGGCGACACCATCATAAGGAGTTCCGGTGCGTGGGTGGTCAAAAGCACCATAAGCATAGTTTTGAAGAAGCGAATCCAATTGCCTTGCTAAGGTAATATTACTGCTGGGAGATTGAGCTTTACAGTCCCATGCCAAAAGAAGCACAAGAAGTGTAAAACTAATGGCAATAGGAGGAATGTGGCTAAAGACCTCCATACAATTTCCAAGAACAATGACGATGCCAGAGCTTCTTCAGAACTCACTTTGCCCTAGATCCCTTCAATCACCAACCAAAGAGATCTAGGACAAACTACATTCGAGATCTTCAGACTAGAAACACAGGAACACAAATGAAGATGCGCAGCCTCGATCCACAGAACCTCACAGATCGAGAAGTTCCAAAAGACAGGTCCTCCATGAATCAAATGTGGAAATTATACAGCATTAAATCACCACAATAATTCGGAATCCTTGAGAAAATATCTTCACAGATAACCCTAACCGCGCTAACGGGAAGCAATGTCCGCCAAAACACCCAATCTAGCTAAAGGAGATAGCGACCTGGATTTGAAAGCCTTCCTTCTCGAATAAAAATTCAGAAGCAGGTAGTGATTCGGAAACCTAAAATCCCGTCAATGAAATAGAGCTAAGAACGTGAGACTTCCTGCAAGGGAAGATTCTCATAATGTTTGATGAATGGAAATCCCACTGATAAACCTCAGTGATTTATAATTGACTAAAATACCCCTGTGCACTGGCCTCGGGAGACGAAAGCGTCTGCTTACGCTTTTAACGGCTCCGTCACTCTTTAACGGGCCTGTTACTCTTTAGAGTCGCCCTTTGCTCTTTCCAGTGCATGTTCGTAACGGCCGGATTCGATTTCGTATCCGCACGAATTTTACGCGAATTATTAACTTTCTGGACTTCAATGCTCGTATTTATTTTTATCCATTAAATAGTTTAGAATACAACGAATGTATGGCTGGGCCAGACTGGCTCAATTCGGCCTTTATTTTTTTTCTATTTCGGGCAACTTATTTACATATATATATATATATAATTATTTATTTATTTATTTATATGTCATTAAAATTTATTATTGCAATCCCGAGAGAAACTTCAAAAATATTAAGAAGATGGAATTTTAATAAAAAAATGAACAAATAAACACATATATATTTGCATGTAATATAATAACAATATTGGAAATTTGAAGAAAATAAAAATTGAATTGGGCTTTTGTTATGAATTATAATATTTTTGTGAGAATTTAATGAATGAAGATGAAGATGTGAGTGGGTAGAATTGAGGGCAATGGTCTAGCATATCTCAAAATAAAAAATGTTTAATTATAAGCATTAAATGAACTAATGGCTTAACAACAAAGAGAAGAAAAAAGTTAACAACGATAAGAAAAACCCCAAAATATAAAAGCTTGGGGCCCATCAATCCTCACGAGTACTCCATCCAAAAATCATATGAACCTGAAAAAACTTTCCCATAACAAGTTGCAGCATCAAATTTATTGAGATATTGAACACGACCAAAATAAAATATAAACACCACCTGAGAGAACAAGAAGATAGAAGAAATCCAAGAACATAACATAACATAAGCATCGGATTGATAATCTATTCATATAGGAATAAGTTTTTATCAATTAGTAGAACCAGCTTGAAAAAAAAAATGGATGAAGGAGAGAACCTCTAAAAAAAATCAAATAAAATGAACAAGATAGGGAATTAATCAAGATCCAAATAAGTGGTTGAGTCTCTTTGGCTAATGTGCATCATCATAGCTTGTAAAAAATATCATGCTCCATGTAAAGAGCCAGTACTGAGCTGAAACATGAATAACAAGTGTAAAACAAACAACCATCTCCAAGAATAGAAAAATATATATAAAATTAAATGTCACATAGATCATTAATGAGATAGAGGATCTCATGCTTAAATTTCATTTCCTAGATTTAAGTGTAATAGTCTAGTGTATACTCTCAATGATAGCCTCAAAAGAGAAGGAAGTATTCTGATATTCCTGTAATTTCTCTCCAACTAGCGATGATAAGCAATAGAATGCACATCAAGTAAATATAACCTTTTAAAATTGTATTGTTAAAAGAGTCATAATGAGAAAGAATTTGTAAGAAATTGCCTTAGTGAAGAAGAAAAAGTCATTTGGGATGCAACTCCTAAGTATACAATAAGAAAAAGGGCATTTAAAAAGAGGGGATGGTGAGTTTCTAAACCAAAAAGACAGAAAGCATAGTGAGGATTAACATGGATCCCCAACATGATGAGGGATTCACAAGTCTTCAAACTACCATTAATAGTTTTGCATAAATGTAAAACTAAATTAATCTAATGTCACTTAAACTAGACAAAATTGCACCAACCAAAAAGAGGAATACTCTTATGAATATAAAAGTAAATATATTTGTGTGAGCACTAATCTTTGTCTTTCTATAAGCATGTACGGTGCTCCACAAAATAGAGATATTATGAATTAGTTGAGTGCAAGGTGTAGGTGCAAGTAGGATGGAGAAAGACCATCTCTCATACAATAATATATTTAAGCCTGATATTGTAAGAGAAACGAAATCAATTAAAAACTCGTAGCAAAATATTTTCTATTGAGGGTGGACAATATTATAGGAACCAAAATAAAATATGAGGTGACTAATAAGAGTCACAGAACAAGATAAGTAGCATTTGATTCTAATAGCCAATTTCTTTAAATCCTTTCAGAAAGAGGAAATTTAGGAACCTGAGATATACCGAAGAGAACTATTAAGGTTTAGAGCACCAATAATAAAGTAAAGAATTGGAGTTGTAATGCCTCTATATGATTTTAGTCTTGCACAAAAGATTAATGCCATCAAGACTAAGGATATAAAGGCCATCTTGAGATTTTGATAAAGTAACCCTCCTCCAAACAATATAGTATGGTTTATTAACATTACCATTATGATGAAAAAAATTATTAAACATAGAATTAATTTTCTTTCTTAAACCTTTAGGCAAGTTATTCGTTCTAAACCAGTAAAGCAGATAATTGCAATTGGTATTTTTAATAAGTTGCAACATACCAACAACAAGAAAATGTTTTTTGCTTCCAACCTGAGAGCTAAGCATGTAATTTATCAAGAAGTTTATGATGGCCAACAACAATGAGCTTTGAAGGTTTAATATTGACAACTTGATAATCTGTAGAATGGATTTGGAAGAAAAACTGCTTAAAGAGTAAAATTGTTGTTCAAAGTGTGGATCCACACCTTCAAAAAAATAGATAGTTGATTGAGCAATGCCCACACAAAGAATAGTAGCCATACAAAATTATGTAAATTTAGGACTGCTCACACAAATATTAGAACTCACAAAAATTATGTAAACCTAAATAGAGAGTTAATAGAAGTGGTTAGCTTTGCCCAAAACTAATAGGTCACCAGCATATATAAGATGATTTAACAAAAAATTTTCATCAGAACTATCCAGCAAAGAAGAAAAAGCATCTATAAAAATGGTAAATAAGTAAGGTGATAATAGTCAGCCAAGTCTAAGCCTAGATTCCCCAATAAAGGATATGAAATATCCTATAATCTCACTATTAATGAGAACATCAAATTAACCTCTGAAGTGCAAACTTTACTCCAATTAATGAAATTATGGGGGAACCCCAATTTTTTCATTCTATCATAAAGAAAAGAAGGGATTAACTCTATCAAAAGCTTTGTTCAAATTAATTTTGGAGCAAAAAATTCTCTTGGAGCTTTATAATTAAACTCAAACAAAAATTTGTTAGCTAAAATGACATTATAAGTAACATCACGCCCATGAATGAAAGAAGCTTATATAGAATGTATAAAAATAGGAAGCAGGGTTTAAGACTACCAGCCAAAAGCTTAGTAGTCACTTTATAAATAGTATTACAAAGAAAATTTAGCCAAGATTCATTATTAGACTGAGCAAGTGAATTTCTAAAGATCAAAATAATATCATAATGCTTAATTCTATAGGATAACCTTGCAATAACAAAAAAATATTTATGGTAGAAATTTAAATATTGATAATAATACCCGAAGTGCTTTTAAAAAACTAAGAGGTGAAACTGTCGAACCTAGAGTCTTTATCAGAGCAAATAGAGAAGAAGGCTTTTTTTATACTTTCACAATGAGAAGAACAATTAACAACTGAAAGAACTTTATTAATAGGGAGAAGTCCAAAACGATTCAAATAGTTATGTATAGGCTCACTAATCAGGTTAGAGAAGAAATTAATAGGTTCATTGACAATATCGTGCTATCTATAAATATAATTATTATTGACTAACAACTCCTTGATGTAGTTAGAATTCATTTTGTTTTTTTAAATTTTGATAAAATTATTTAATATCATTCTCGCATTTAGAAGCTGCACATTTTTTGCTCTTTCTTTAATCCAATTGTGCTTAAGAGATGGAATTTAAAAGTTGAAGTTCAATGGAAGAGCTTTTAGCAAGTAATACTTGCTTTAAAAGTTGCTTCTCCATCTTTGACAATATAGTTTCTTATTGGGCCTTAACATTAGAGTTGGAAGCTAGTAGAAGAGCACCATCTCCATCTCTTGAGGGCATATTTAACATTAAAGAGCCTATTGTAAAGAAAAAAAAAAGGGATATTTTGATTCGAGAGGACTCAACAATTTGAAAAATAATTAGAAAGTAACACTGGTAATTTTTTAACATAAATCTGCACTTCAGAGGAGTATAACCAAGAGAAACATAGATGGAAGTGTGTTTTGAGATAAAAGATTCTAAAACCTCAAAATAACATAAAGGAATAACATCCATCCAGCGAGAATGCAAACAACTCAATTTAGTTGACACTAAATGAGATTATTAAGTTGATAATTTTGCCAACTAAAAGAGTGTCAGACATTCTACAGCTTCAGGAGGCCAGTGTTAAGAACTCAATTATTGAAGCTAGTGAGTTTAAAAGGAATTGGAGGGCTTCCAGTCATTTTCCCTTTGAGCTTAAGAATACAATTGAAATCATGATAATGAGCAAAGAAGAATGGATATGAACTAGCACTATTATCAGTATAGATGAAAGTGATAAGAAAGCTAAAAGAGGAGGAATATGTGAACATATCATGTATATATTGAACACTAATATCTAAAGTAGTAAAATTGATAGTACTAGATTTCCACTTCACCTAAATCTTACCAGTATTAACAATATTAAAATTATTAATATTATTCTCATAGGAGAAACTATTGAAGCATTTGCAGGAGAAATGATCAAATATAAAAGACAAAGAAATTTTTGTTTTTAAGAAGCAGGAATTTTATCTTTAATAACTTTTATACATTCAACAATAAGTGCATTACACCACAAGCATTATAGGAGATTATATTTAGAAAAAAAAATCTAGAGAGAGACTACCTCTAAATTTGCTTTTCATTCCTTTAGAAGAGCAATGGAGAGAGGTAAAAGAGATAGTAGGGGGTGGGCATAGAGAAGACATGACGTAGATTGAACCATTTTTTTACTAGCCTAAGGCTCATCATGAGCCAAAACCACATCAAAATTTTAACCATCATAAATATAGATATTATGTAACTTGGGAGAGACTTCATCATAAGATTCAACCTGGCTAAGATATTGGTCAGTTGGGTAGCTGAGATTAGGAGAGAGAGCATTTAAATTAAGAGGG